GTTTCAATGATGAAAATACATAATATATGTATATATATAACTATCACATCTATTGTAGTGATGAATATAAAATTAAATAGTAGGTTGAACAATAGCAGATTTAGCTTGAAACATTATCCTTTTATTACCTTTTCAAAAACTTTTCCTATAATACTTCGAGAACTATTATCCCTTCCAGTGTTCTCTCTAAGTTGCAAGACTGCACAACAACCAATCAAATGCTGCGAACTTAATTATCCCAGCCATGCACATCATCAGTAATGGTGAGAAGTCACAACACGTTGACGGCCTTAATGACCCTGGCAGTTGCTAGGCCTAAAGCCCAAATAATGAATTGGTAACATCACAAAGCAGCCAAATGATTCAATAGGGTTGATGGACTAACAATACCCCCCCACACCCAAGAAAAATAAAAAAAAATGGTAACACACATCTACACATTGCTTCGATACTGGTGCACATGAAAAAATTCATTTTGCACATGGATTGAAAAAATTAAGAGAGAACATTGCTCTTTCTAATATTGAGTAACATTAATACATCACTCAGACAATGTCAAGCTCAATCAGCAAGAGATATAACAGTGTTAGTCCTTTTAACCCACATGCTATATGTTGCTACAATATCCTCGTCAGACCAACAGACATTATCTATGACATTGAACAACTAGAGCAAGACAATTTCATGACTTTCTGGACCATGAATTGCTGACCTTACAGCATGGAAACTAAATAATAAAGATATTTTAAAAATATCTATATCACTAAAGCGGGTATATAGCACATGATATGCCTGCATATCACAATACATTTAAATAGATGGGAACCTATTCCATCTACAGTTATGGATCTTGACACATTACAGAATAAGTTAATCAAGCCAATACCAGTTACACCTTATCTGTAGTACAGTGTAGCGTTTTTGTCTCCTTGTCTAGAAAAGGATATTGATTTATTGGAAAGTGTTAAGATGAAGGATGCTGAAATAAAAGAATTATTTTACAGAGAAAATTTTCTTTAAAAAAAAAGGTGAGGGGGGAATAAAAGGTGATCTTCCTGAAGAAGATTTAAACTTTAAGTTTAACTTACTCTTAAGTCCAAGAGATTGACTAAGCTCCGATTAAAACAGTTTTATTATTCATAACTTGACTGGCAGTGGCTCATGGAATAAGCTGCTCTCAAAAGCAGTGTAAGTTAGCAATTTTAAGAAGAAAGTAAAATAAGAGAATAACATATCTCCTGAAATATAAATGTTAGGCTTCAATATTTACTTTTTCTAAAGGATGAGCATGGAGTTTAATGAAATTGAAAACGTTGTAACTTGAAGTTGAACTAAGTTGAAACATAAACTGTTGAAGGTCCAAAGTTTTAATGTCATCTTAATAGGATCGCTAAAACCTGTATAATAGTAAATTCTACTTGTATTTTTTTTTATGGTTTTGTTTACTATTAGTTCATTATTCCTTTTACCGTTTAATATACGTGTGAGTATTTAGTTATAATAAAGAGTTTACTCACCTTCTACCTGGAGCACGTTAATTTTGATGAAATATGTACGTATTTATTATGAATTAAAAACTACCTTCCCCTGGTGGTTATATACATATACTAATGCTGTGAAAGATTAGGTAGGTTTTATGGTAAAAGTTTATCATATAATATCTAACCTATTGGTCTAACTACGCAACAGAAAGCCATCTTTCATCTTAAAAACGAGATAGTTCACGAGTTACAGCTAGAAGTAATTATTGCTCAATATTATCATTAAATTTTGAAAAGTGGTTTAATATTGGAATATTGTGATTTTCAGAATTAAGTTTTCTGTTTCCTTTTCTAATTTTATTTATTTATTAATTGAGGATTATGGTGAAATGTTTATTAATGTTTCACTATTTGATGACGAGGAACCCACTTTGAGACTAATGTTGCGTATCAGTTTGTTTGTTAATTTCCGGTATAAATTCTTTCCAAGGAACTTCAGCGATACAAGCCCTTTCTTGATTAAACCAGATTATTCTTTCTCGAAACAACTTTTAGTAATACACAGAATTTCCACAGTCACT